TTCTACTATTGGATAAGTATAATATTTGGTTGACTGACAGACAATTTTTAGAAAGAAGAATTCATTTTAATTAGTATTGAGTCTGCGAAAAGATACTAGAATTCTTTTAGCGGGTTAGAACGTTTCTGAACACTCCGTAAATCATAGAAAACCATGTCTATTGAGTATTACAATGAAGTGTCATGCTAAGAGATAGTATTTATACGATAGTGAGATTAAATATATTGTTATGTAGTACAAAGCTTTATTATGTGTTAGTGATTCTTTGAGATAGATGGAACCAAAGAAGGAATGTTCCCAAGTAAGAAATAAGATTACCGCAACTGGTACAGCTAAATGTTTGAATAGTTGAAAGGAAAGAGGAGATGAAATATTAGGGAATTAATTAAAAAAAAACGTATATTTATTATTCGTTACAGGGATACGTGAGCTTTAGTGTTACGTACCAGTCTGTTCTGTCGTCATGAATTAACGAAGAATCATCAGAGTTATCAAAATTTTCCAGCTTCCTAGGTGATCTTCTTTTTTGTTTGGAAATTTTCTCAATTTATTTCATTTCATTTTAAAAATATTAGGATAGTATTGTTTCTTTAGTATAACGATAGTATATGGTCTGAGTGGCCTGAATCTTTAAGTAAACGTGAAGAATATGCTTTGAAAACGATCCGTGAACTTGAAAGAGACCGTATAGAATACTATGTATTTGTTCAATATATATTTGATCAACAATGGAAAGACTTGAGAAAATATGCCAATAGTTCTAAAATAAAAATAATTGGTGATATACCTATGTATGTTGATTATGATTCAGCTGATGTTTGGTCAAATTCTTACATGTTTCAATTAGATCACAATGATACAATGAAACCAATTTTTGTTGCAGGTATGACAGTTTTAGAATGTTTTGTTTGAGATTTGAACAGCTGAAAAACATCTATGAATGTTCTAGTGTAGTTTTTGATTGTTGCTCGCTTATCTTATAATTTGATAGGTTTTCCATCTGATCAGGGTTCAAATAAAGGTCAAAATTGGAATATGCCAATATATGATTGGAATAATGATAATGTCAGAAAAGATTTATTTGATTGGTGGATAAAACGTTTACGTAGAAAATTATCAACTGTTGATTTTCTCAGAATTGATCATTTTCGTGGTCTAATATCACATTATGTTATTCCAGTTGATATTATAACACAAGAACCTAATACTACAGAAGCATATTGGGTTAAAACACCGTAAGTTCAATGAATTAGAAATCGCCTGATACCATCTCTAATACTAAAGTAGATATTTTGGGAAACAATGAGTTCTTATTAAAATAATTTTCTATAACGTATTTTGTATTTTAGTCGGAATCCTATTGATCTTGTGGATCTTATAAAAATATAAATACTATCAAAAGATTTTTGGTTAGTTACTTATTACTATAGATCAATGTCTTGATCCCCCTCAGAATTATGAAGACAACTCAGTTTCGAAATTTGACTTGAAACTTTATGTACAGACAAGGTATAATAGAACTAGATTATTGCGATAAAATTTTTTATCTTTATCTTTCTGTATTTTGATTTACCGAATGTCTCGATGTTTTAAATCGTTTTATCAATATTTTTAGTGGTCATGAATTCTTGACAGCTATAACAGAATCACTTGGTTCACATATTCCAATAATTGTGGAAGATCTAGGTGATCTTAAACCAGAAGTATTTGAATTACGTGATCATTTTCACTTATGTGGTGTTAGAATTTTACAAATGGGTTTTTACTCTGATTCAACTAATATTTATGCTCCTCATAATTATATTCCAAATTCAGTGGCATATACAGGTAGTAATTCATCTATATGTAGACAAATAATACATTCGTCTTTGTAATCTTCTGTAACACTACAAAGAGGCGCTGAAATTTAAATGACTGAACATAGTTTTTAATTGTTCTATAAAATGTTTAAGTGCTTTTCTTTGTGTTACCCTTATTAACAATTAAGCAATCAAAGCATAGAGTCTTGTCGAAAGAAGAGAAGAAAAGCAGCTCTAATTTTCTAGAGACCTTTTACCTTAAAGACTTCATGTAGTGAAACTCAAGAATACATGTGAATTACAGGAGTTAGAGTGTTTTAGCAAATTTTTTATATAAAACAAATATTGCATTCTATATTTACAATTGTATTAAATTGATTATAAAGAATTTCTGAGAAAAACAAAAATCTTAAAGATAATTTGAATTTTTCGATTGTGTAATTATAATTTGCAACAAATAATACAGGAGCTCATGATAATCCAACAATATTACAATGGTGGACCGAAGAAGCATCCGATAAAGAAAAACATCAATTTATTGATTATATCCGTCGTCCTGTTGAAGGTGATAAAGAACTAATCAATGGTTTAGAATTGGAAAAACATCTTGATAAACATATTTGTTGGTATTTCATACAAATTCTTTTCCAATCAGCTGCAAATGGAGCAATTATTCAAATGCAAGATCTTTTAAATAGTTTAACAAGAATGAATATACCAGGAACAGGTAACCTATATCGTCACAAATTATAGTCATGAGAAATATTTATCATACAATCAAACAAATAATTTGAGATTTTGGGTTTTTTGACAGTTATTTCAAATCTAAAAATCAGTTTATAACTAATCTTTACTTTTAATGAGCGGTAGAATTTCAATAATTATTTCTAAGCAATATAACAGAAAAGAAAAACTGCATCGTAATGTAGTTATGCTAGCTCTATTTCTAGTTTGGAACATTGAAAAATAAAATAATC